GTTACATTTATTACGGTTACATCGGTATCTCCAGCTTTTTAGCTCTTTCACTTCTGATCAAAACAGGGAAGGGTGAATGTGCACGAGACAAAAATTAAGGGAAAATGGGACATATTTATATGGATGATGATAAACATTCTGAGTTCCAAAGTTTAAAAAAAGCAGCAACCAACCAATCCACACTCAACCGCCAAGAATTGTGGAAGGGATACAAATGCTCCTGCTTCATGGCATAAACCAACATCTAAATTCAAGGAGTCCTTTAACCTTAAGACACATCTGTAGGAATCTCATCATTTTGTAATCCCTCAGTTTACTCTAGTAGCTCTTTACGGGAATAGGCTTCTATCAGATAGCAAACTGCCAATGCAAGCGATGGAAAACTTGATGTAGTAATAATTAATGTCATAACTTCAAATAACTAGAATGCTCAGTATTAATCTAAGAAGAAATGGAGAAAGCCTGCTTAATGAATCGCTTTTCTTCTTCCATAAAGATGTTACACACTTAATGAAGACCAGCACATATGTAATGGAATTGAATAATTTATGTGTACTGTCTAGAAAATTTTGATTAATCTTCTTGTAATAAGATAGGAAGCAGTTTACTGTAATGGTAGGATAAGATCTAACTGTGGATAAAAGCCACTGGTTTAAAAAAATGTAAGCCAAAATATCAGCTGCTATGTTCAGGGCAGCTCTGAAAGTGGTCAATAACAGTGGACTGTGGAACAAAGCATCAATATTTCCTTAGAAATCTTGTGTAAAAAAGCAAGCCAATTCTTGCCTTGTTTAACATGCCCTATAGGGGCCTCCTGCCTTCTTCAGAGAAGTTAATAGAAAACAGCGTAATACTAAACTGCCTCTGTCTCTCTTCTGTAACCAGACACACGCTGTTTTCAAAGGGTTCTAGTATGATTTGGATTTTTTCCTAAGGCTCTTAAGGTGCTAATTGAAGACCCACCCTCAGTTCCATCACAGGGGCTTATGTAACATATCTCCTCCCTCCCACCCCAATGGAGCAAGTTGCTCAGGAGCCATTGTTAGACTCCATGTACCTAAGGTGAGTAGAATCAGTGATGTGAAGAGAGATGCCAAGGAGCAATGCTCTTTGGTACACGGGACACAGTTGTCCGTTCTGCTAGATTTGGGGCTTTCATTGCCTACAGAATATGTAAATTTGTTGCTTACATCATTCTGTCATCACTTTCGCATCTCCCTGAAAAAGATATTTGCTGAAAATCATAAAGCAGCTCCTGTCTCACCCTAAAGCACAGTCTTCAACCACTCATTAGGTCCTCTTTTGCCCTCAGATGCATGCAAACAGTGCTCATTCTAGTCAGTGGTGTTGTCAGGCCCTGGGTAACTGAGTTCAGAATTGAGGTTTACATAGAGAACTAAGTGTGATGTCATGTGCAGTATCTGGAAAAGAGTATGAACGGAGAGGCTAACATTAAGCAGATACATTTCTTTAACACAAATTATTTTAGCAGAAGTCAAGAATGTGGTCACAATATGTGGCATTTTCTGCCATCTGTTCCTTAAGGGTTTTGCCATTGAAATGCGCACACACACAACCTTACAAGTATCAGCAAGAGTATCAGCACATTTTAAGTCTGTCTTATCCACTCTATATTTAGTATTCTTCCAGGGCATGGTAGTGGCCTTTACCCTTGTCTTTGTTAATTATATTTTCTTTTCCATGTTAACATTCCCCTTAATTGTCTCCCTCTGCGGAGGCTTGGATGAAGCAAATCAGTGCCACACTTCCAGTGCTTCTGAATGGGGCTGGATTGACAGTCCCTAGAGACTGATGTCAAACCTAAGAACATCAGCACGGCCATACTGGGTCAGACTAAAGGTCCATCTAGCCTTAATATCCTGTCTTCTGACAGTGGCCAATGCCAGATGCCCCAGAGGGCATGAACAGAACAGGTAATCATTATTTGATCTCTCTCCTGTCATCCATTTCCAGCCTCTGACAAACAGAAGCTAAAGACACCATTCCTACCCATCCTGGCTAAAAGCCATTGATGGATCTAACCTCCATAAATTTATCTAGTACTTTTTTGAACCCTGTTAAATTCCTAGTCTTCACAATATCCTCTGGCCAGGAGTTCCACAGGTTGATTGTGGACTGCATGAAGAAAAACTTCCTTTTGTTTATTTTAAACCTGCTATCTATTAATTTTATTTGGTGACCTCTAGTTATCAAATGTCCTCGAATGAATGACCGGAAAAGTAGAGAAGAGACAGTAAAAGTTTGCAAATGCTGCCCTACCAGTTTGCAGAAATTTAGACCCCCTAGCCCATATGGGCCCCATCTGTGACTGGCAGAGTAGTTCAGATGCCTTGATATCCATTAAAGATTGTTTGTGCTCATGGGGCCAATTGCAATTTTAAACCTCCCTTTCCCACTTTGTACATTAGGTGACATTTTCACTGTGAGGCAGTTACCAGATGATGCTAACAGAGTACAGTTCTAACCTATGCAGTGAGGTTGCCTTATTTAGCCAACATGATCTGATGTCTTAGTAAGTCTTTCAGCAGAAAGAGTAAAAAGGTAGGATTTGGGAGGAGGTCATCATATGGATTTTCTATAACCTCTCTTGGATAAAAGCAAGTATGTGTGTGTGCTGGTCACAAGTATCCTGATATTGTGTATGTGTAGATTGTGTAAACATATTCAGGACTTCATTTTAACTTGTTTTTATTTAGCATTGATGTTTAAAGGCACAAAGCACAGTGCTTGTTTTTTGTATCTGAAAGGAGAATATTCCCTGATTGCAAATAGTGCTGGCTATTTGAGCAACCATTAGAAGAGAAGAGATAAAAATGCCACTGAGGTGAGACGAATTAAGACCAGGGGTGTACAGCTGGAAAAGACCTGTATTCTCATTATCCCCAAGACCTGCAATCACTTCCTTTCGGGAGCCACAGAAATTGTTTGATTTTCAGTAGAACACTATTTAGAGTCAAATCCTGATAACCGTGTTCACCCCTGTAAGAACCATTGAAGTCTTGGTAAGGTGGGTCTGATTGGCCCATGCTCTTTCCAAAAGTTCCCAGCCACTTAATGCCGACACGGAAGTATGATCGGGTTTGGCTTGAGAAGAGAATATCCAGTATCTGTGGTTCTGTTTTGTGTAGTGAGTTTGACCGATGTGTGGATGGTACCGTAGAATCTCTGAGTTACAAACACCTTGCAAATGGCAGTTGTTCGTAACTGAACAAAATGTTATGGTTGTCCTTTCAAAGGTTTACAACTGGACATTGATTCTATATCACTTTGAAACTTTGCTATGCAGAAGAAAAATGCTGCTGTCCCTTAGTTTGTTTGGAGTTTTTTGGTAGTTTACATTGAACATAGTATTGTACTGTATTTGCTTTTTTGGCGGTCTCTTTGTTGATGCCTGATGGTGTACTTGCAAGACCAAGTAGTGTGGTTGACTGGTCAGATCCTAACTTTGAGGTTCTACTACATGTGGAATGTATCAGAGGGGTAGCTGTGTTAGTCTGAATCTGCCTTTGGAATTTCCACTACATGCATCTGACGAAGTGGGACTTTGCCCACGAAAGCTTATGCTCCAATAAATCTGTTAGTCTATAAGGTCCACAGGACTCCTCGTCGCTTTTGTATGTGGAATGATCCCACCTTATTAAAAATTACTCACTGGTACTCAGTTATGCAAATACCAGCTACTTCCACTATTTCCTGTACAGGATCATATCCCTACACTGAGATAGCTCAAAAGCAGTTCGGGCTGAGCCACAACACTTGGATCTGGATCCAGATCTGAACTGTTCTGCTCTGGGGTTTTGTCCCTAAAATCATTAAAGGATCATATTCTCCTGGGGCAATGCGGGAATGGGGGCATGAAGGGTCATGTGCCCTTCCAGTGCCATGGGGAGAGGAGCAAGAGACCAGAAGCTGGCAGAGCCATCCTGTCTGGGGCAGTCGCCCTGGATGCAGTGCTTTGGGGGCCCAGGGCAGTGTGGGGCACTAGGACCCAGGGGATCATAGCAGGCTGGGGCTGGGTCGCTCTGCTTCCTGCTGCTGCTGGTGAGTGCAGGTGGGCTAGTCCTCTGAGCTGCGTCACTCAGGGGAGGGAGTGGGGACACGCTGAAGGCAGACCAGGAGCAGGAAGAGGCGAGTAGGGGGTAGGGCATCGGGGCAAAGGGAGGAGTGGGCGTGGTCCTGTGGCTGTTGCTCACCTTGCGTCCCTCCCTAGCAGTCACCACTGTATTCTCCTCTTTGCGGAAGGAATTTCAGCTTCCTTGCCCATATTCTTTGCTTGGATAACGCCATTTAATGTGAGTGACAAAAGCTGGTTTTCTGAGTAGCGTCCATCTTGTGCTCCACTTCAGGTGCGCATGCGCCTCTCAAGTTCTTAATTAATCAGCGATTTTCCATTAGCAGGGTCTCTTCTACCTGTGCATGTGCCAGATACCTCCTTGTGCGGGCCATTAAAGCTATATAGGGCTGCAAACTGCCCTCCGTTCCTTCTCAGTCCCCTCAGCCTGAGCATCCGTCCCCCTGAACGTGCCTTGGCTTTTCAGTCTTCCCATTGTTGTTCAGATTAGTTAGTTAGGTAATTGTACTAACTAATTAAAATAACGAGGAGTTTGGTTTTTTCCTGCTCTCCAGAAGACTTGTTTTCCCAGCAGGACACGCTTGGCTTGCCAGGATTCAAACATCTTCTGCCTACGAGCAGCAGCCACTGTAAGCATGCCCGCTACGTTGGGGAGTCTCATCGCTCCCTGAAGGACAACTTCTGTCTAGTCCTCCAATCCAAGGCCAAGAAAAACAGGGAGACTAAATTCAGGTTGTTAACAATGGAACACGTCGGCCAGCTTCTGCATCAGGTCAGGGGACAACGTCCCATACTCCTGTCTCCCTAACAGATCACGCGCCACTTCAACGTTTGGAGGCTTCTGAGAAGGCATCTGAAAAGAGGAGTGCGGACTTCTTGGCTGAAGTCCAGGTTCCCGACAAGACCTATGGTCTCTGAAGCCGTGACCTCTCGATTTGATACAGTTGCGTTGAAGGACGCCTTCTCTAGGACAAGTGGTGCCACAACGTTCTGTAGCTTAAAGGAGAAGTTCAGCTCCAGTTGGGCCTTGGTACCCCACTTAATGAGCAAAGAGGGTGATCATAGGCACTCAGCACTGGCACCGTTGAGCTCAGCCCAGCTGATGGTATTAGGGATGTTAGATATCGGGTAATTGAATAGTCGTGTAACTGCGTGAAATCTTAGCAGCCAGTGTACTCTTGGCTCCACTCCAGGGAGCCCCCTGCCACCACACTGCTCCCTCTGTATCACAGTCAGCAGTGCAAGGTGCCAGGGGAGCCAGTTTGTGAGGGGAGCCAGTTTAAAAACTAGTTCCCCTCGCAGGCTGGCTGCCTGCTGCTCCATGCTGACGCCTCTGATACAGAAGCAGCAGCACAGGGTGGCAGCAGCCCTCGTCCATGGGTGGGGGGGGGGGGGGGTCCGAGCTGAACTGGCTACTGAGAAGCAGGCTTTGTCTGTGCCAGGCCCTCCTCCCACATTGCCCAAGGGCCTAGCAAAGCTCTCAGCTCCCCTGACTCTCTCTGCTTTACTCCTAGTACTTCTGTATCTCACTGATCTCTATAGATATTTGCGGGCAATCTGTTGCCAAATGCATAGAGAGAGATTTGACACATTTTCAGCAAAAGAAGAAATTACATAATAAAGGTAAATTAGCAAATGAGTGTGCAATAAAATAATATGAACCCCTAAATAAATAATGACAGTGAACATTGCAAATACAGATCAAATTAGAAACCAAAGCACAGGTTTTTCACAGGGTTTCAAAACTCTTCCTCTCTTTTGTGCAAAGCATTTGAATTGCAAAGAGGAATGTTAGAAACGTCATTCTCCCACTGAGATAAATTATTGTAGTATTGAAGATAAATAGTTGTTAGAAAGAACTAAATTTGCTTTAGAAAGTGCTTAAAGTAGATTTTTTTGTGGTTCGAGCCGCAAAGGTGGAAAAGTGAGCCCTTTTTGCATAGGGGCTTTTCTTTTCAGTCTTTGTGTGTCTGTCTTCCATTTTTTCTCTGAAAAGCATTGGCTAGAGCCTGGTTGATGCTCTATTAACAGAGAGAGATTTTGGAATGATGCCATTTTCTCAAATGTACCCCATGCTTGGATGGGCGAGGGGAGATTTGTCTGGTCATGTCATGTTTTAATTAGCGCGTCTCAAACTTTTGTTGTTCCTCTCTGTGTGTCATGGAACTCGGGCATTGTGCTGCGTTCTGTTTCCTTGTGCTGCTTCCTCTCTTGTGGACTGGAAAGCCTTGAATTTTGTTCCTTCCTTTCTTTTGTTTCTAAAATCCCAAAGCACAGGAACCTGCTTGACCTGTATGATTGAATGTGCAGTTGTCTCCTCAGCAGAGACGTGAAGCAACTCGGCAGCCTCATGTTTGAAAGGGGGCTGTTCTTTTGTATTCGTCCTGCAATGTGAAGCCTTTTGTTACATTGGAACGAAGAGGTTTGAAATAGGAGCCAGGCCATAGGATATTGCCTGGGATGGCAGGGAGATGGTGGTTTATTAGCAGTCCCTAATGACTCTTCTGATCTGTACCTACAACCTACCTTAAGTTTTTTACACACAGGAAGAATGGGGCTAGTCTTGTGTAAAGTTACTCATGTTATTAAGTGTATGTGGGATGGTCCTAGTTCAGCTTTGAACGTATGGCTCTGCCTCCAAAGCTGTCCCGACTCAAGGTTGAGCGTAGATAAAGGCAACCTTCTGAGGGAGTTTGGAGACCCTTACTCCAGTAGGGCAAGTGTAAATAAAACCAAGTCTCTTGTTACAAGCCCTATGAGGCAGGAGTGTATGTCATTGACTGAAAAATCTGGGTAAGAAGCAAGTTTTTCGTTTTCCATGTCAATGTCTTAGTGAGAAACTCTAGCTCTACCTCCAAGTACGGCTGTAATCCTTACAGTGGCTTTTCCATACAAATGTAGTTGGGTGGGGTGGGGTGGGGAAAATGGCCTGTAAGAAGCCAGCTAATGAGAGGGAAAGTTGGGGCAAGAAACACTTTTGACAAGAAAGACAGCTGAAAGTTAATTTGGCAGGGGCACAAGGCTACACAGTGTTTGTGTGTGACGCTTCTGAAACTGCTCCTGTTTGTTTATTTTCCTGGTCCAATACGTTTCTCTTGTGCCTTTTTCTGTGGACACAAGAACAAATGGATATAAGCTGGCTAGTAGGAAGTTTAGACTTGAGATTAGACGAAGGTTTCTAACCATCAGAGGAGTGAGGTTCTGGAACGGCCTTCCGAGGGAAGTAGTGGGGGCAAAAGATCTATCTGGTTTAAAGATTAAACTAGATGGGTTTATGAAGGGGATGGTTTGATGAGGTAACATGATCTTGGTAACTAATTGACCATTCATTATCAGTGGGAAATAGGTCAATGGAGGGATGATAGGAGTTACTATAGAGAACTTTCTGGGTGTCTGGCTGATGAGTCTTGCCCGCATGCTCAGGGTTTAGCTGATCGCCATATTTGGGGTCGGGAAGGAATTTTCCTCCAGGGTAGATTGGCAGAGGCCCTGGAGGTTTTTTGCCTTCCTCTGTAGCATGGGACACAGATCACAGCTGGAGGATTCTCTGCATCTTGGGGTCTTCAAAATATTTGAAGGCTTCAATATCTGAGATATAAGTGAGAGGATTATTCTAGGAGGGGTGGGTGAGATTCTGTGGCCTGCACTGTGCAGGGGGTCAGACTAGATGATCATAATGGTCCCTTCTGACCTTAAAGTCTATGAGAGAGAAAGAAGTTCTCTTTGGAGTGAGGAGACCTGACAGGAAATCTTGTCTTCCCTAAGATGGGAAAGCTGGAGGTAGCGAAGGTCAGAGTTGGAAATCCCGGTGTCACAGTTTAATTTAATCTTGTCTTATGCAAAACAGTGATGCAGAAGCAGAGGGGAAGAGCCTCAGAAAGAACTAGGGCTCACAATAATAACAGTAGTCATACCTGGGGAACATGACATGTTAAGCAGAAGTTCAGATAGAACATTCCTGGAGTTGTCCTGTTCCTGCCAAACCTAATGAAAAGACACTCATTAATTTCAGTAATATGGACTCAGGTCCTGAACTTGATGTGAAAGCATGCACTGTGTTGTCTGGCTACTCAGGGCAAAATCCTGCCCTTTACCCTTGCAAAGACAGCAGCACAGCCTGTATGTTGCTGCCCTGTATGGCCGGGTACATAGAGCCTACATGAGCTTATGCCAATACTGGATGATATCTATCAAAAAAAGCAAGCATCATGAGCAAAAATATTTTCTGTATGCCACAGATTAACATGGTGCTTAACCAAGTAAGATGCATTATCACTCCTCAAGAACTTATAAACCTGTAAGCTTTATGCAGCAGGAGCTCTCATTGGTTTTAATAGACCATTGTCCATTTGGAGGACTTGCAGGATCAGGCTGTAACAGACAAAAGAGAAGTGCAAGACGAGATGTGGTTTTAAGTGTGTTTTGGCTTGGTTATGACCTAAAGGCAGCAGTCCTCTAAAATTGCTTGCGAAATTGTTGGCAGTCACAATCAAATTACATTAAACATGTTGACTTCAATGTAATTGGGTTATCTCAGTGCATGATTTTTTTTTAAATGTCTGATTACATTCAAATGCAATTGGGAGCTGGCTAGGGGAAAATCCAGGGAGTGTTCGCAGGTGGATGGCTTCTTGTCAAAAATCCTAAAAAATCAGGTAATTGTTAAATGATGCTGTCAACTGTGCCTATGCAAATATTTGTTTTGCCCCAACAGAGTTTGCAAGAGGTACTAGAGGGACATGCATACTGTAGAATTTTGTTGAAGAATGTGTCAAATTTTAAAATATGAATTCTGATCTCTCTCTTTGATGTTGCAGCCAATTATCAAAAAGAATTGTGTTTTAAAATAGGATCTTCACTTGCAGAGTTCATCTTCTCTCCCTCGTGGGAAGTGTTGCTATCAAATTTTGGGGCAGCAGAGTTTTTCCCTATTGAAACACTCTGTCAAACATAAGCTGCCTCTGGAAGAACCAAGAGCTGGCTTATAAACAAGGACCATATTGAGCAAGAATGTGCCATACTGGTGTGCTTCTGCTCATCCTGTCAACCTCAGCAAATTATCAACTTTCATTTAAAAAAGAGTAAGAAGGAGGTTTTAAAAGACATAAAGGGGAATTTGGCACCCAAATGCCATTGACTTTCAAACTCCCCCTGTTAAGTCATAGTTGTGGGAACTTGCTCCAGAATGGGAAGAGAGGTCACATTGTGTTACTGTTCTGGTGAGGCATCTCAAACAACTGCTCTAAGAAAAGTGTGAGCTGTGCCACTTATGCATGTTAACTCTGCAACCTAATGAAAACAATTACAGTATCATATCATTTAATCAGAGATATCTATTTCTGGGGTTCTGGGCAGAGCCTGAATAAATGCAATATTCTTCCCCCTCCACCCCATCACACACTGGGTATGAGTGAGGAGAATTCGATTCAAACACAAAACATCTGTAACTGTAAAACGGATTAGCTTACATTATTGATTATACAGATTGTCCTAATTCTTCCCTCAGTTACATAAGTAAATTAGGGTGGGCTTGGATTTGCTATTTGTAGCATGGATAGTTTGATACAAAGGTCATCTTGGGTGAAACCTCTTTTAAAGACTTTCTTAATACATTTTTCATCCCTTTAGGGGAACACCTGAGAATATGCCCGCAGGGCTACACCTGCTGTACCAGCGAGATGGAGGAGAACTTCGCAAAAAAAAGCCAAAGTGAATTTGAAGACACAATTATGGAAGCCAGCCGCTCTGCCCAGGTGACCCTAACATCTCAGTACAAAAACTTTGATGGTAAGTAAAAAATATACAGCTTACCCCAGTTTACTTGTTGGACATAGCTTTTTTGCCAGCTGGTTCTATTTTGTGTATTGTGTTCTGTGGCTATTATTGTATCAAGACTTTCAATATGAGTTCTAGCATGTGTTGCATTTTCACTAGAGAATTACTTAGAAAAACCAGTTTAAGTACTTTTCAGGAGTCTTGCATTCATAGATACCTAGACTCATAGATAATTAAGGTTGGAAGAGACCTTAGGAAGTTATTGAGTCCAACCCCCTGCACAAAGCAGGACCAACTCCAACTAAATCATTCCAGGCAGAGCTTTATCAAGCTGGGCCTTATGAACCTCTGAAAAGGGAGATTCTACCACCTCTCTAGGCAACCCTTTCCAGTGCTTTACCACCTTCCTAGTGAAGTAGTTTTTCCCTAATATCCAACTTAAACCACCCCCTCTGCAACTTGAGACCATTGCTCCTCATTCTGTCACCTGTCACTACTGAGAATAGCTTGGTTCCATCCTCTTTGGAATATCCCCCTTCCAGTTGTTGAAGGCTTCTTTCAAGTCCCCTCCCCCCCTTACTCTTCTGCAGACTAAATAAGGCCAGTTCCCTCATAAGTCACTTGCCCTAGTCTCTTAATCATTTTTGTTGCCATTTGCTGGACTCTCAGGGTATGTCTACACTGCATCCCTAGTTCAGACTAGAGATGCAAATGGAGATGACCGAAGTAGTTAATGAAGCAGGGATTTAAATATCCTGCGCTTCATTAATATGATCTCACCGACACATTAGTTCGAATCACCGCTGATTCGAACCAGGAAGTGCATGCCAGGACGCGTTAGTTCGGACTAAGGGCTTTCGTCCGAACTAATGCGTCCTGGCATGCACTTCCTGGTTCAAATCAGCTGTGATTTGAACTAGCGCACCGGCAAGATCATATTAATGAAGCGCGGGATATTTAAATCCCCGCTTCATTAACTACTTCCATCATCTCTATTTGCATCCCTAGTCCGAACTAGGGATGCAGTGTAGACCTACCCTTAGCTACCACATAACCATCGCTAAGATCTGTATATGCAGGCACAGAATTGTTTTTTACAGACAACCCTAACAACGCTGGGCATTACCACAGCAGCATAACATCTGAGGTAATGACAAGAAGGTTGGCAGCATTCCTTGCGCTGGAGGTGCTTGGGAAGATTCGGAGTCTCTAGTTTCCTGAATGAAAAATAGCAAGTGTCGTTTGCCAACAGATGCTCCTGGCAAACGGGCAGTAATTTAATGTAGCACTCACCCTTACCTGTGGAGAAGCCTGATGTCAGGGATACAGCATTGCTTTCAAAGCACTAAACAAAGAATCTGGCAGGCGGTTGCTGTTGTGACCAGTGCAATCTGTTTTGCAGCACAAGCTGCGAGCTTTGAGGTCTTAAGGCCAGTGGAAATAAGTGGTTTATTGGCAAAATAGAGCTAACCTATGATTCTGTAACCATGTCTATTATCGGCAGTACCTTATTTGAAAAAGGCCAGGCATTTAGAATCACAGCCCTCATACCTTTATCAATGATTGTCATATGGGCTATGGTTAAAAGAACTGTGTGTGGGAGAGGAGGTAATGAATAGAAGGGTAAATCGAAGATTTCAGGAAACACACAGATATACAGAAATTGGCCTGACCTTCAGAAGCAGATAGCCAAGATTAAGGTCTTTTTCACTGAATAGGACAAAATTCCAAGGCAGTGCATCTCTGCACGGTGCATTTCAACTTCGTAGTTGAAGTTGACCATAGCAAAGGCTTTCTTTGAAGTTTAGCATTCATTTGTAATTTTACCCTGCGAAAAAAATTATGACCATGATTGTTTGCCTAGCTTTGCACTGTAATGGGCATGATTTTCAGGAAAAGTTGAGCATACTTGCTGCCCTCTGGCAATCAGATCCCATTACAAAAGCTTCAGGTGGGTAGCCGAGTTAGTCTGTAACTGGAAAAACTTCATCTGAAGAAGTGGGTTGTGCCCACGAAAGCTATATGTTTTGTTATGAGGAGAGGTTAAAGCGACTGGGACTTTTCAGTTTAGAAAAGAGGAGACTGAGGGGGGATATGATAGAGGTCTATAAAATCATGAGTGGTGTGGAGAGGGCCGATAAAGAAAAGTTATTTATTAGTTCCCTAAATAGAACTACTAGAGGACACCAAATTAAATTAATGGGTAGCAGGTTTAAAACTAATAAAAGAAAGTTCTTCTTCACACAGCGCATAGTCAACCTGTGGAACTCCTTGCCAGAGGAGGCTGTGAAGGCTAGGACTATAATAGAGTTTAAAGAGAAGCTAGATAATTTCATGGAGGTTAGGTCCATAAAAGGCTATTAGCCAGGGGATAAAATGGTGTCCTTGGCCTCTGTCTGTCAGAGGCTGGAGAGAGATGGCAGGAGACAAATCGCTTAATCATTGTCTTCGGTCCATCCTCTCTGGGGCACCTGGTGCTGGCCACTGTCGGCAGACAGGATACTGGGCTAGAAGGACCTTTGGTCTGACCCAGTACGGCCGTTCTTATGTTCTTATGTTAGTCTCTAGGGCTATGTCTAGACTGCAGGCTTCTTTCGAAAGAAGCTCTTTCGAAAGCATCTTTCGAAAGAGCCTCTTTCGAAAGGCTATGTCTAGACTGCAGGCGGATCTTTCGAAAGAGAAATCCGCTTTTTCGAAAGAGAGCACCCAGCGAGTCTGGATGCTCTCTTTCGAAGACGGCCTCTTTACATTGAAGAACGCCTTCTTTCGAAAGAGGAACTTTCGAAAGAAGGCGTTCTTCCTCGTGAAATGAGGTTTACCGCCATCGAAAGAAAAGCCGCGTTCTTTCGAAATAATTTCGAAAGAACGCGGCTTGAGTCTGGACGCAGGGGAAGTTTTTTCGGAACTTTTCCCGAAAAAAACCCTGAGTCTGGACACGGCCTAAGAGGCTACTAGACTATTTAGTTGTTTAAGACCCCATTACAGTGCCTCAAGCTGTTTGCCCAGGTATTATCCTGGCCCGTTCACCCTCTTACCCTCCCATTCAGGGCTGATCACATGGAACTGAACACAATGCTACATCCTCAAGGTAACTGACAATAGAATGTGGCATGTTGAGGATTACATGAACAGAGATTGCTCTGCACGCAAACTCTTTAATAAACCTAATTTTGCTTTGTTGTTGGGTTTAAAAAATCAAAACCTGAATCCTCTTTCTAAATTTCTGATTGGAGCAACCCAAATGTTCTTTATGGTTGTTGTTGGGTTTTTTTGTTTTTGTTTTAAACACTGCTACTGCTTTGGGCCTAAGAAAAAAATGTTAAATGTACATCTTGGAGTGTACGTTTACGCTTAAATGTACGACAATCAAGACATTTTTCTCAAGGAGTATTTTTCTCAAACACTGAAAATATAAGAAAAATAAGGAAAGTTTTTCTCAAAGACTGGAAAGCAAAGTATTGCTTTATCAAACCAAATCATTGTTCTTTTGTAGCAGGTATAACCTTAGTTGAGCCCTCAGGCCCAAAAGATGTTTCTTGCTCCTATTGCGTCTTTTTTTTAGTTTGCTTAACTACTGCTGCAATCAACATTGTTTTTATGATTTATGCAGAACATGTAATGCAAAAGAGTAGTTATCATTTCAGGTTTCAGTTTCAAGTGCTAATTTGCCTATGAGCCAAATTTGGCTTTACAGCTCCACTGGAAATTTGAGATTGAAGGAGTTGAAACTGCAGTGGGATGAGGGGAGGTGGATCAGTTGCAGAAATGGTGTGGAAACAAATGCAACTTAACTGTTGGGATTGCCAGCTGGTTTACAGTTAAAATGTTTTGCACTCAAGGAGTGGTGGTGTTAAATAGTTTGAAATAAAGGCGTTTCTCTTGGTTCAGATAGGAAGTGTATGCTGAACACAAGTAGAAGTGTTCTTACAGGAGCAGTTTCCTTTGGTGCCTGGCTTTGATGAATTACCTGTTATGCAATGGAAAGGCCCTTCCTTGGCTTTGCCCCTTGCTTCAAAAGAGAGTGATCCCAACGCAAGGTAGTAAGTGCTTTCTCCCCCTCCTCCAGAGGTCTGCAAGATTTCATCTTTTCATCCCTCTTCTTTGATGTGCATGTTTGGCCTGTAGCGAAGAGAGATTGCCATGTTCTGGCTTGCAGGATTATCAGCAAGCACCTCATCTCCTTTGTTATAGGAGGGAAGTATTTAAAGGATAGAGTAGCGAGTGGGATTTCCATTGGAAGGGTATATTACCTTTGCCAATCTTATTTGCAGCCTGGAGGTCCTGTTGTTCATGGACTCTCTGGTACCAGGGATGGCATGTTGAGCTTTTTTGGCCTGGAGGCTTCCACTTTCCCTTTCCATTGCAGATTGCCCCACAGCAAATCAGGTCTTTGCAGTCTCAGTGCTGAGCACTGTAATTGCATTTATTTGTGGAGGACCCAGAAACTTCATATAGAAAATGCCCATATCATTAGTACTTACAATCCACTGTGTCACTGTCTGCCCTGGGGCAAATTCTCCATTGCCACTGGCAGAGAACTCTCTGATAGTCAAATGTGTTTCTAGGGCAACCATTCATATAGTATTTAGGCATGAAATTCAAATTAAAAAAACGTATGGAATTGAATTCTGCTCTTGCCATCCTAAAACTTGATTGTTCTCCGTATATTATTTATTATCTGAATTCCAGATTCCCAGGCTAATTAATATGATACAAGCTATAGAGATGTATAGGACCTGCTCAGAATGTGCTTTAAGTTATGGCCTGAGCTTTTTTCCTTGTAGCTCATTTACCTGCAAAGTGGGCAAGTCCTGCCCTGTTTCTGTATTTCAGATGGTTGAAAGAGAAATTTGAAGAGAACCGTGACTGACTGTTGTGGGGGGGAGCTTGTGGAGATTGTTTTAGAAGTAGGCGTTTTTCTCACTTGAAAAGGACATAGATTTTAATCTGAGATTTGTCTGATGTTAAAATTGATGTGACAGGAAGGGGCTAGGGGAATGGGGAATGTAGAC